AATAGAGATTATTTATTTCAAAAAAAATTTCCTAAAGAATATAATATCTTTATAAATATAATATAGAATTGTGATATTAGATTCACATTTATATCAAATATTATAGTTATATATCACAGAAATATAATAATACAATCCTTTCAAAAGTAGAGATTGATATTATAAAGTATAATAAAAATCGAGATAATTATAGCAAACAAAAGAACAAAGGAAACTATTTGAATAAAGAAATTTGTTATAGATCTAAAAAAAAGAATTGAAACAGATTTATTTATTTTTATACTCTTTTATAATAACAAAAATAGTATTGATTAAATATAAAAGAATAAGTTTTATATCAAAACTATGTATATTGTTATCCACTGGTATTATATTTGCAATAATATAATTAATAATAATAAATTTCGAATTTTATAGATTCCTGGAAAAATCAAATAGTAGATATTTTAACAAAAGCTTTATTTATATCAAAATTTGTTCAATATTTAAAAGGTTTAAAATTAGTTATTTAAGATTGGTTTAGATAATAAAATGTACACCTGAACCTACCTGGCCCTACCTATACCTACCTGAATCTATCTATACCTACCTGGATCTACCTAGCCTTACCTGCACCTACCTAAACCTATCTATATTTACCTACATCTACCTACACCAATCTACATTTACCTATACCTATCTACATCTAGATAATTATAGGTACTAGGTATCTGCCATTTTGTCAAGAATAGGATATCGAAAAAGAGTATTCTTCTTCACTGAAAAATTAAAAAATCTTTGGAAAAGGATTGGAATACTTTTGTATTACAATATACTTATTATAAAATAATCGAATTCTATAGAAGATTAAATATTACAATATTATCTATCGTTACAAAAGTTAATAAGATTTTCGAATTCATTTAGAAATAGGATTCAGGTATATAGCCTGATAATATTTCATGATTAATTATTCTAATTAATAGAAGAATATTAGAAATATAATTTAGAGTTATATAAGGTTATATAATATAGTTTATATGATATCATCTATATATACATGTCTCACGCATTTATATATATATCTAATACTACTAGAATATCTCTAAGAATATATATAACGTGGTTTATCAGTGCGTCGCGCATATCAATGCCTTGCGCAATTTTTCACTATTTTGCAACTCTTCAATTCAATACGCATTTAATCAACAATCAACAATGAATAACACTTCAAAAGAAGCTCAGATTATCTTAACTATTGAAGCTATTAATAAATCAAAAAAAATGAATCGCCGGAGTGCTGCTAAATTCTACAATATCCCTGAAACAATATTTCGGAATTGAATGAATGGTTTAACCCCGTTACAGGAATGTCAATCACCAATTCAAAAATTAACTAAATTAGAAGAAGAAGTGATTCTTCAATATATCCTCGATATAGATATACAAGGATTTGCTCCTCGATTGAGTAGTGTGGAAGATATGGCAAATGATATTCTCGATACTCGTGGAGTACATTATATTGGAAAGCTCTGGGTGTATCGATTTGTATAACGCTGGCCAGAATTAAAGATACATTTTAATTGCGTTTATGATTTCCAAAGAGCTCTTTGCAAAGATCCAAAGCTTATTAAAGGGTAGTTTCGATTAGTATCGAATATGTAGGCGAAATACGGTATTCTCGATTACGATTTCTACAATTTCGACGAAACAGGCTTTATGATAGGTATTATATACCCTGGGATGGTTATAACTAATATTGAACGATATAGCAGAAACAAAGCAATACAACCAGGTAATCGAGAATGGGCTACAGCGATTGTATATATTAATAGTATAAAAGAAAGCATTCCTTCATTTTTAATGATTAAGGGCAAAAATCACTTCTCGAGTTGGTATACTGAGAGTGATCTCCTATTTGATTGAATGATTAAAGTTACTAATAATGGATGAACAAATAATGAGATAGGTTTAGAGTGGATTAAACACTTCGATAAGTATATTATTGCTCGAAAACAAGGTGATTATCAAATGTTAGTATTAGACGGACACGAAAGCTATGAATCGATTGCATTTCAAGAATATTGTAAAGAACACAATATTATAACTTTTTCATTACCTTCTCATTCTTCACATATTATTTAACCACTCGATGTCAGATGTTTTAGTGTTTTAAAACAAACATATGGCTAACAAATTGAGGGGTATATTAAGGCTCATATCAATTATATCACTAAGGTCGAATTCCTTATAGCCTTCAAAGCAGCATATCTACAATCAATAACTGTTCAAAATAGATTATCTGGATTCCGCGGAGCTGGATTAATACCCTTTGATCCTCAAGCTATTATTTCTAAGCTAGATATCAAATTACGAATATCTACACCTACCAGATCCTTCTCTGTAGAGCTCGATCCTTGGGTTTCTCAAACACCTTACAATTCGAACAATGCTCTTTCGTAATCAATCTTAGTTAAAAATCGAATTGTATAACATCAAGGAAGCTTTCCTACACCTATATTTGAAACAATTACAGCTTTAGTTAAGGGTACAGAGATATTAGTTTATAAGATAACACTTATGAGTGCTGAGATTTGTACTCTTTGAAAGGCAAATGAGGTATTGAGTAAACATTGTAGAATTAAAAAGAATCGAATTCGTCAAGGAGGAATACTTAGTATATAAGATGGATATAATATTATATTACAGACCAATGTAGATAATCAGATTCGATGTAACGAATGCTTTAAGAGGGGTAATTCAAATAGGGAATAATCAACTTTATATTGTTGTGGCTTTTGTGGTAAAACTGGTTATAATATACAAACTTGTCAGGAGGATTTAGAAGACTCTAGTTTATCAGATTCTGAATAGTTTCAATTAATTTTATATGTTGTGATTATTGAATAATATTTTGAAATGATTGAGTAGTGAAAAAGTGCGCGAGGCACTGATATGCGTGACGCACTGATAAACCACGTTATACAATATTACTATTGTT